AGCCTTTCTCTGACTATCTTTTTTTTCTACATTTTCTAAATGTTCTAAATATCTGGAGAGGAAGAATGTGCAGGGATGTGGGGCAAGAGCAGGCAGTTCGCAAATTGCTCCTTAAGGGACAGTCATGATGGGTTGAATGGCCTTCTCCTGTGCTGCAAAGATTTTATGATCCAAAGAAGATTAGCTGAATTCTTTCAAGAGACTATTACCTGTAATAAAAAGGAAATATTCTGCAGGTCGAGCAGCATCTGTGGGGACAGGTTTGTTTTGTAGAAATACTGGAGTTGGGTGGGGTAATAAGGCTGATGTAAACCCCAAGAACACCTCCAGCTACAGTTGACAATCTGATGCCCTTGTTAGGAAGCATGTGGAACAGGATGAGGATTGGTAGATTTGTTTTCAAGTTACTTTATTCCCTCTCTCACTCTTTCCAACCTCACTATGAATTCTTTGTGATTCTGTCTGAAATTCTAGGCACACCATTGGACCTCTGATATGTTCTTGACTCCTAGATTAAAAGCAGTATCAGGTTATAAGATTGGTGGTTATTATGTTTATGGGTGTTTTTAAATTCAAGGCCATTAAGTTAAATGTTTAATTTAAGACAAAAGGCGTTGCTGGATTTATTGCATGATTGCCCAGAGGGGAATAGCTATGGGTCTGAAGACACATGCAGGCCAGATCAAGTAAGATTGGTAATTCCTTAAAGGATTCCCAATAAAAACGAGACAGGTCTTTCCCCCAACATTGGTCATCATTGGATTCTTATTTCCGTAATTTTACTGAATTCAAATTCCATCATCTGCCATAGCAGGATTCCAACCCAGCTCCCCAGAACATTCGTATATAGGTGTGAAGCTGGAAAAGCACAGCAGGTCAGACAACATTAGAGGAGCAGGAAAGTCAACGTTTCGTTGCCTGCTCCCCTGGTGCTGTCTGACTTGCTGTGCTTTTCTAGCTTCACACCTATAGACTCTGGCTTCCAGCATCTGCAGTCCTTAAGAGTCCCCAGAACATTACCTGGGTTAGAAGTCCAGCAAAGATACCACTAGGCCATCACCTCCCCACACGCTGGGGTTGAGGGAGTCAGAGTGTCATTATGACACAGTGACCATTCACCCTATTGAAACCATACTGACTATCCACGGAGCAATCCAATCAGTCCCATTGCCCCCGCTCTACTATTTTAATAAATAAAGCAATTTTAACCAAATTAAAATCTAAATCAAGGTGGACAGTCCCTACAGAGTCCAGTGACAAAGTTCCAATTCAGAAAACTACAAATTTTAAATTTGAATGTTGTTTTGAGATGATGATGCACCCCAGTCCCCACAGCAAGCATGACATGTAATGACATGCTCCCTCTCCAAGGCCACCATTCCCCTACTCTATGCAATCTTGAAATTCAATTTCTTTCAAGTGCCCATCCAATGTCTTTCTGAAATCATTCATCATCTGCTTCCACCACCCTCATAGGCAGTGAGTTCCCAGTCCTTTTCAGTTGTTAAAAAAAAGCTCCTCTTCACATCCTCTCTGTGTCCCTGGTTTCATAAGTAGGATGGGTTTAGAGGGAGATGGGCCAAATGCTGGCAAATGAGACTAGATTAATTTAGGATATCTGGTCGGCATGAACGAGTTGGACCGAAGGGTCTGCTTCTGTGCTGTACAACCCTATGACTCTACTTCTCGTTATTTTTAGCCAATCTGTTCAGACATGTTGAAACACACCTCCAGGCAGACGGGCTGAGAACTGGCATATCCTAGGCTAGAGGTAGGGATACCACCACTGAACCACAAGACACCACTAGACATGACACTATCAGCTAATGGGAACAATTGGTTCTTATTTACCTTTTCCAAACCACTCAAAATCTTGTTCACCTCTATCAAATCTTATATCTCCTTTGCTTCATGCAGAATAGTCTCAGCTACTCCAAGCTTACTCATAGCTAAATTCCCAAATCCCTGCAACTGTTTTAGTATAACCTCTGTGCACCCTCTCATTGAAAGAAAGAACTTCATAGACATACCACATAATCTTTATCAGAAAAAGCAATCACTCTAATGTGCTCTCAGGCATACAATGATCTAATCTCTGGGAGCTGATACCATTATAAATCATTTGTTGTCTTCCTCTTTAGATGTTACTTTCATTGAATTATAATGAGTGACTTCCTGCAAGTTTTATGTATTCAATGGGAAGCCTTCATTTCATTATCTGATTTGCATTTCTCTCTTGAAATATAGTCATTATTTAAATTAACAAACCTTTTTTTCTCTAACCTAATTACTGTACTCACCATTTCTGTTTTTTTTGTTTGACCATCGCTTATTCCTTAACTACCATTACTACCTTCCCTGATACTCGACTGAAAAGATCAAGAGAGAACAATATCTGTGAGCTCATTGGCACAAGCTGGGGTTCAAAAGCCAATGTTGTTTAACAACAAGTTAATCTTCTCAAAAGCTGATTGCTGTACACCCTTATGGGCCTTGAGTTGTCACAAAAAATTCACTGACACACACAACTTCACTCAGTAATGAGGATAAACTCTAGAATTGGGTGATCAGCTCCAGTTCAGTGGTTATCAGTCTTCTCAAATATTCTCCATTTGTCAGAATACTGCAACACTCAGAGAAATCACTTCTATTAGCTGCACCTTGGAGTTCATCATCCACAGAGACCCTCGGAACCCCAAACCAATGTGTGTCTCTGCAAAATCCTTTCCAGGCACAAATCCAACGTCCCCAACTCTGTAACACTGATGAAACCTGGTGGAAAACTTCGGCAAAAAGCACCTTCCCAAATAAACACATCACCTCCAACCCATCACAACAACCAGGCTTTGAGTTTCCTCAATAGAACATCATCTGGACATGACCATCTTGACCTCAAGTGTTCCCTCAAAATCTCAGCTGTCTGCAACTGAAAAACCCTGACCAAATCAATGAGGACATAGTAGTGTCTTGTCCCTGGTTCCAGTTTGGAAGTGATTTCCTCCAGTTATCCTTGCTCTCCAGTGTGGCATTGAACTGTTAAAACCGTAATTACAGCTTCTCCTCTAAAGCCAATACAAAAGAGGAAGAAGAATCCTTTCTGTGATAATTCTGAGTCTGAGTCAAAACCTGCCAGAAAGTGTGACAAAATTTTTAGATGTTAACACAGAAACGCTGGAAGTTAAAACAATATGTCAGCAGGGATGATGGATTATTCGCTAGACAGATACATTAGAACCAAACAGATAGACCAAAAAATGTTTTAATAAAGTCACAAAGTGAAAATGAGAAAAAGCAGTTTCAGGTTAAAAAAAATGAGAATTTCAATTGTAAGGATTGAATCTTAAGAGGGAATCTGTGATGAGAGAAAAATTGTTCAGAGTTGAAAATCTTTGCAATGTTCAATCCCAGATGGGCTTGTTTTATTTATTTATGGAATGTGGGTATTGCTGACTAGACCAGCATCTATTGTATATCCCTAATTGCACAGTGGGAGTTAAGAGTCAACCATGTTGTGAGTATGGAGTCACATTTAGCCCAGGCCAGGTAAGGGACAGCAGATTTCCTTCACTAATGGATATGACTGATTTAGATTTCTTTTCTTTCTTAAAAGGGAAAGTTGTTCCACAGCTACCATTAAGTCAGCTTTTCTTTAAATTCAAATTTCACCATCTGTCATGGTGGGATTCAAACCCATCGCCCCAGAACATTAGCCTGGGAGTCAGGATTACCAGCCCAGTTACATTACCATTACACCACCACCTCCAATGGATCCCCTATTTTAGAATAAACTTAAGATTGAGGCAGTCATTGTGCAGGGATGGGATTTCTCAGTGAATCGAAGGATATGGAGAGCAGATGGGAAAGTGGAGTTGAAGCCATGAGATCAGCCATGATGATGTTGAATGGCAGTGTAGGCTCAATGAGCCATACTGTCCAAATCTGTTCCTTTGCTGTGTTCTGGTTGCTGGTTTCCAATGGCAGAAGGGATGATAACCAAAGGGCACAGAATTAAAGTGACTACTAAATGAACTGGAGGTCATACGAGAAAATACTTCTATTTCCTACAGCAAGGTGTTGTAATTGAGAATGCATGGCCTGAAAATTTGGCAGAAGCAGCTTCAAAAGGAATCCGGTTATGTGCCCACAAAAGGGAAAAAAAAACGTGTTTGGGAGAAAGAGAATTGAGAGTAGTTGGACAGTTCTTTCAAAGAGTTAGTAGAGGCATTATTGACTGAGCGGCCTCCTCCGTTTCTGTTACAATCTACAGAGCTGGTTGCTGCCTTTCCCAGACCTGCTCCTCTGTTCTCTTTACTTCAGTTTTGTGTTTAAGCTGCATTACTAGGCACACTTTGAGATTTCCACCCAGAGCTGTTACAGAGATGTGCGTGGATAAAGAAATGAGCATGGACTACTGGGCTTCTCGATGCATTGACGATACAATGTGAAGGGAGAGCTCAACTATTAAGAGGCACTGCTTTTCAAAGGAAGACCCCTTCCCTACCCATTTGGGTAGTTGCCCAAGATTCAGACAGCACTATGGGAAGATCATGTAGTTCTCCAGCGTCCTGATCAACGTTTCTGCCTTCTCCTGCACCAAAGACAGGCTGACTGGTCACTCATGCAATTTGCTGGAGTTCTGGAATCTTTCTATGCACAACATCAACTGTTACACTGATGACCACACATCAGGAGGAAATCATCTGCTGTGAAATGCTTTGGCCCATTGGGAGGGAATGGAAGACTGTACGAATGCACTGTCCTCGTTTTTTTGTTGATCCATTCATGGGATGTGGGCGACGCTTTCTGGACCAGCATTTATTGGCCATCCCCAGTTACCCTTGTGATTCCTGACATTCGTTTCAGTAAAACATTGAGGGAGGGAGGTAGGGAGGGGGAAATGGGGTAAGCAACCTTGCGCTATGCCTCTAAGGATGACACTGGGATATTTACGTGACAGCCGTTGCTCTTCCCATCCTCTGGAGGAAGAAAACCCTTTGGAATTCCTGTGAAAAACATCAAATTTTATTCCTCAGTATTTCATAAATAAAGTCCCTTTAGAACATAAGGTGTTCACATCAGGAGGAGTCTGCAAACACTTGACCTAATACCGCAAGTTTCCAGCTAAAATGCTGGTGGGGGCAGCTCAGCATTGGAATTCTTTTGTTATTTCTCCTCTTGTTTGTGTTCTTGCCACCATGGGTGGCCCGTATCTTCTGGTTGTACTGAGGAGTTTGATCTGAAGCACCGGCTGCATGCAGTCCCATCCTGGCATAATGCGTGGCCCGGAAGTCTTGCATGAGCCCCTCGACCTCCCACCTTTCCTCCTTGTGTTGGCTACAGCAGTGCAAGGCTGCAGGGTCGATGGGGTGTGCCTCTGTGTTGAACAGGTAGCCGCCAGCTCCGAGGATGCATTCACCGTAGGGCGTGGTGACGGTGCGGAAGGTGGAGCCATCGTTGTGCAGGAAGTTGTCGGGGTCGAACAGCAGGTAGAGGTACTTCACCGTTTCCGCCAGGAAAAACGATTCCATACGATTGTCCAGCTTGTGATCCCGCAAGTCCCGCACCTAAACGGCATGGAAACAGTCACAGCTGATCAGCGAATCCATCAGCAGGTGCTCAAACACTGACTTAATCTGATTTATTATTGTCACGTGTACTGAGATACAGTGAAAAGTATTGCTAACCAGACAAATCATAGAATAGAATCCCTACAGGGCCCATCGAGTCCACATGGCCCTCTGAACAGCATTCCACACAGACCTATTCCCCATATCCTATCCCTGTAACCCTGCAGTTCCCATGGTTAATCCACCTAACCTGCACAACTCTGGACTGTAGAAGGAAAGGCAGGGAGAACATACAAACTCCACACGGGCAGTAGGCCAAGGGTGGAATCGAACCCAGGTTCCTGGCACTGCGAGGGAGCAATGCTAGCTACTGTGCCACCCCCATACCTTACATGTACAAAAGGGGATTAGAACAGAATGCAGAATATAGTGTTACAGCTACAGAGAAGGTGCAGAGAAAGATCAACTCTAATATAGGAGATGGCTGTTCATAAACCTGATAACAGCAGGGAAGAAGCTGTTCTTGAATCTGTTGGTACGTGTTTTCAAACTTTTACATCTTCTGCCTGATGGAAGAGGGTGGAAGAGAGTATAACTGGGGTGGGAGGAGGCTTGGACTATGTTGGCTGCCTTCTCGAGTCAGCAGGAAGTGTAGACTGAATCCCACCACAATGACCACCGTGTAAATATACAGGATGGTGTCTAACACTGACCTATCGATGTGGAATGAAACAACAGAAATAGTTGTTTCTCCTACACAAAGTTGAGCAGTGATTTGATGGAGATATGAAACATATCAGAGTGTTAGGTGGGGCTTGACAGGGTAGATGAGAAGATGGGAGAATCCTGGACCAGAGGGTATAATCTCATTTTGCACATATAAGATGGAGATGAGGGGGAATTTTTTTTCCACTCAAAGAGTAGTGATGCTGTGCAGTTCTTTAATACAGATGGCAGTCGAGCCTGGGTTGTTCTGTGTATGCAAGGCCCAGATTTTTTTTAAATCAGGAAGGGAATCAAGGGTTATTGTGCAAAGGCAGTAAAGTGGAGTTCAGGATTATTAGATCAGCCATGATCTCCTTGAATGGTGGAGAAGAGGTAGGTTCTTCACACAGAGAGCGGTGGGCGTGGGGAATGCGCTGCCGGCAGTGGTAGTGGAGTCAGATACTTTAGAGACTTTTAAGCGACTCTTGGATAGGCACATGGAGGATAGTAAAATGTAGGGTATGCAGGGTAGATTGATATTAGTAGGATAATAGGTCAGCACGACATCGTGGGCCGAAGGGCCCGTACTGTTCTATGTTCTATGTAAGACTCGATTCTCTGAATGGCCTACTTCTGTTTCTCCATCTTATAGTCTTAGAAGTATTCAAAATCATTAGTGGTCTAAAGAGAGTGGACAAGGGGAAAATATTCTCATTGGTGGAAGAATCCACAATTAATGGGCACTGATGTAAGGTAACTATTAAAAGGCAAAATAAATGAAAATCTTTTGAATACAGCAAGTGGTTAGGTTCTGGAATGTACCGCCTGAGAGTACAGTGGAGGCAGGATTAATTGTGGCTTTCTGAAAGGAAGTCGCTAATTATCAGAAGAGAACAAATTAGCAGGGCTACAGGAAAAGGCAGGGGAATAGAACTAGCTGAGTTGCTCTTGCAAAAAGCTAGCATAGACATGACCAGTCAAATGGCCTCCTTCTGTTATGTAACCATTCTACAATTCTATGTAGAGCCCAACAAGCTGCAAAGTGTACCTATGTAGGCAATGCACTGTGCTATTATGGGCTCATTGTAGCCAACTCTGATCCTATGACTCCCCATCAATGTGGATTTGCTGCTGAAAGCAAACTGACTGGAATTAAGGATCTGACCGCGAGGAAAAGCAGCAAGTTTCCTGCATTTCCTCGTGACTACACCTGAAAAAGATATTACAATAATGCGCTCTGGGATGCTTGCAACCCACCCATGATAAATTGGTAACTCTCCTCCACACCATTATTCTCTCAATCCAGACTTGTATGTTGCAGTGGTGTTTATTGGAATAAACTCAGTGACGAGGCAGTGCGCTGAGAGTCATTGCTGAACGTTCACAGATCGGGCACTTACTGTAGCGAAACCACAATCCACACGGCTGATCTTCTCAATGGCCTCGATAACATCCCTGCCCATCTCCAGCAGAGTTGGATCTCCAGTTGCTCGATATAGATACATAGCACTCTCCACCAGCTCTGTAACAACAAACCAGCCCCTTTAAGGATGTGTGAGCTCCGAATGGCAAAAAGAAAATCCACTCCCTTTGGGAATGGCACCCACTGTACTGGAACAAAGATTGCAAACGAAATAGAGAAGCCAGTGGTTACATGAATTTATATACTTAATATTTTTAGTACAATGTTTGAATCTCCAAATTCTTGGATGAGACAAGGGGCTGGATTCACAGCCTCCAAACAAGGTTGAATTTATGTCAGATAACAAGGTGTAGAGCTGGATAAACACAGCAGGCCAAGCAGCATCAGAGGAGCAGGAAAGCTGACGTTTCGGGCCTAGACCTTCTTCAGAAATGGGGAAGGGTAAGGGGGTTCTGAAATAAATAGGGAGAGAGGGGGAGGCGGGTAGAAGATGGATAGGGGAGAAGATAGGTGGAGAGGAGACAGACAGTCAAAGAGGCGGGGATGGAGCCAGTAAAGGTGAGTGTAGGTGGGGAGTTAGGGAGGAGATAGGTCAGTCCAGGGAGGACGGACAAGTCAAGGGGGCGGGATGAGGCTAGTAGGTAGGAGATGGGGATGGGGCTTGAGGTGGGAGGAAGGGACAAGCTGGGCTGGTTTTGGGATGCAGTAGGGGGAGGGGAGATTTTGAAGCTTGTGAAGTCCACATTGATACCATGGGGCTGCAGTGTTCCCAAGTGGAATATGAGGTGCTGTTCCTGCAACCTTTGGGTCGCATCGTTGTGGCACTGCAGGAGGCCCAGGATGTACATGTCGTCTGAGGAATGGGAGGGGGAGTTGAAATGGTTTGTGACTGGGAGGTGCAGTTGTTTATTGCGAACCGAGCGTAGGTGTTCTGCAAAGCGGTCCCCAACCCTCCGCTTGGTTTCCCCGATGCAGAGGAGGCCACAACGGGAACAGCGGATACAGTATACCACATTAGCAGATGTGCAGGTGAAGATTTATGTCAGTTCCCTGGTCCCCACTCACCTCCCTGGTCCACTCCCACACACTGCATCCCTGGCCCCTTCTTACCTCTAGAGAGCCCTGACCATTCCCACCTCTCGGATTCCCCCAACTCCCATCTCCCAGGTGCCCAGACCACTCCTGCCTCCCGAGACACAAGACCCACCTCCACTTGCTGGTTCCCATCCACTTCCCGGGCAATTTTCAGAGAGGCAGGATTGGGTATCGACTGGGCTGACTGTGAACCCAAATGGAGGCTCCTGCCAGTTTTAATGCAGCAGATAGCAGCCATGGGCCACTCCGTAGAAGGGTTTCTCCCTCTGCTCACCCACATTTAGTAGCCTTGCTGCTGAATCTATTCGGAGAGTTTAAATAGTCAAAGGGGACACTTGCAGAAGCAGCATCTGTCTTACTGACCTTCCCCTGCAGCCTGTTGCTGCTCTTGAGCTTCAAGGCCTCTGACTGATCCTCTAGCATTTCTCCAACACAGGAGCAAGAGCAGGAGACAGCAAAGTTTCAAATATCATTTCAAGATGTGCCTCGAGCTGCCTGCTCTCAACGTTTAAAGATGAAAGTTAGTTTTACATTTTTTATACTTAGATGTCATCCTGACTAGGAAATATTGACAACTCTTCCCTCACTGTCACTGTCCGAAACCATGTCTCCAACAGCACTGAGGGGGCTGGGGCAGTTCAGCACCAGCTTCTCAAGGACAGTTAGGAATGGCAGTAAGTTCTGGCCTTGCCCAAATCCCATGCACAAGTGGTGAAAAAAATAACTTTCAACCTTATAAAGACTTCATGCAAAGTTCTCTCTCTACAGCCCAAGTTAGCTGATTCAAGCCAGACAGAGTGACACGGTTGCTCAGTGGTTAGCACTACTGCCTCACAGTGCCAAGGACATGGATTTGATTCCAGCCTTGGTCTGAGTGGAGCCTGCACATTCTCCCTGCGTCTCTTCCAGGCGCTCCCACAACCCAAAGATGTGTAGGTTAGGTGGAATGGCCATGCTAAGTTACCCATAGTGTCCAGGGATGTGCAGGCTACGTGGGTTACCTTGAGAATTACAGGGATAGGATGGGGGTGCTGGATCTGGGTGGGATGCTCTTCCAACGGGTATTGTGGACTTGAAAAGCTGAAATGACCTGCTTCCACTCTGTACGGATTCTAGGAATAGCTACTCATCCATTCAAATCAGAGATAGTAGATACTGCAGATGCTGGAGAATCCGAGATAACAAGGTGTGGAGCTGGATGAACACAGCAGGCCAAGCAGCATCAGAGGAGCAGGAAAAGCTGACATTTCGGCCCTAGACCCTTCTTCAGAAATGGGGGAGGGGAAGGGGGTTCTGAAATAAATAGGGAGAGAGTGGGAGGCGGATAGAAGATGGATAGAGGAGAGGATAGGTGGAGAGGAGACAGACAGGTCAAAGAGGCGGGGATGGAGCCAGTAAAGGTGTGTAGGTGGGGAGTAAGGGAGGAGATAGGTCAGTCCAGGGAGGACGGACAGGTCAAG